AACCGGCATGAATACCAACGGCCTGGACACAGCTCACCTACTCTGTCAAGACGTTTCGCGTGTATATAACTTTTTGAATTGCGTACAAGTTAGCGTGTACCTAGACACTGTGGATTCGTTAAGTACGGGCCCGAGCAATCATGATTATAATTAGCAAGTAAGCGTCTGATTTCTACTCCAAAGACTAACGAGAACTGGGCCTCGCGATATCAAAGAGGCTGTCTGGAAGTTTATATTCTGGATATTACTTATTTTGTGATTATGTGATCTAGCTACGAAGAAAAATGGACGATATATGTGAATGGATGTTTCAATGAAAGCGACAAAGTCTGGCTCCATAACCTAAAAAGTCAAAAGAATTATTCTTCGAAGCTTTTGGGACGGGGTCCGTACCTCATCCAGAAAAAATATTGATGATGTCATTTACCGTATAGTCCACCAAAACCGTAAACTAACTCCAAGAAAATCCTGCGATCTTGCCTTTATGGGTGCATATATGGAGGTGCTGGAAAAGTAAGTTATTGTGTTACAACCGAGCAGCAACAAGATCTGCTCACGCTTCCAGAAGACTACTTGCTGGTCCATAGCATTTCCGTCAGCCTCAATGACGCTCAAGGACTGGCATATGTGTTTGCTCGATTGATAGAACTTCAAGGACAGTTATCGGCTCCTGGAAAAGCCTTGAAACTTCAAGATGAGCCGCAATGTCGTGCGAAAACGAGTCTGACTCTGATCTTCCCGTCGTACAAGCCGCTGTCTGTGTTCCGACACCGCTGGACGGTCCAAACAAACGAGATGTTACTGGAAAGTTCTAACGCAAGTGTGGATACATGGGGAAGGTCTGTCTAGAATAGCTATACTCATCCTTTTTTCCTTCGGGTCACATTCATATATTTATTATGTTACACGGGCCGCAATATTTTTGGATAATGTTCTTTTTTTAGGCATCCTTTTAAAATTAGTTAGTGGGAACCTGATTTTATATTTACTTTCTATGTAGCAAATAAAACACAAAAACCTAAACATATCCGAACGATTATTCAAAAATTAGTGAGATATTTAGCATAGCGACCGAAAAATGGTCTCGCGTACATCGCTCAAGATTTAAAATATCTTAGAAATTCATATTTTGAAAAATTAATTTTCTAATAATAGTTTTCGGGAACGCACATAAAAGCTTGGCGGGCCGCTTACAGCCCGCAAGTTGAGTATGGCTGGTCTAGAAGCATCTCGAACTCTGTAAAACAGTGCTGGATTTATCTGGAGTATATTTTGTATACAAATTGATTCTTTTGCCGTTTGAGTTAAGTTGAAGATATACATTCAAATTGTTATATAAATTAGATAATAAGTGTAAAATATAAATAGTGCATAAGTATAAATAAATTTATTAGTATTTAATGTAAATAAATTATAAATAATAAACATATAAATAAATAGGTAAATACTTTTAAATAAAATTTTAAAAAATTCCAATTTCATTTATTTATTTAAATATATTTCATGTTATCACTTTATTTATTTTTTATAGTATGTCCAGATAAAAAAAAACTGAACAAACCTTTTGTTATGTGAGCCATTTTAATTATTCAGTCATGCTCTAACTCTCCAAGTCCCTCTTTGTCTTATTTGACCTTTGAGGCTCAACTTGTCCGGTTATTATACATAATTAAACCCCTTAAGACAAAACCTATGGACGACTATGGCGGAGGTGATTTCGATGACTATTCGAGAAAAGATGGGATAATATTTCTGGTCTGTTCCAAATATTTCTAGTTTGGTGGAGAAGCTTCTAGACTCCACCAAAGTTTAGAAATTTGTATATAAATATTGGTGGAAGAACACAGTGCAATCAGTTATATATGGACAGTTAATATAAATAGTGAACAGTTCAAAGACATTCTAGATATATATAAATTAGAATAATAGTGTTATTAATAAATAAGTATTTAAATAAATTATTTACAAATAAACTGTTGTTTGAAAATAAACAAACATCACACTTTATTAGCAGAAATTTTAGAGCAGAACATTTATAAAGTGCGAACGTAAAGTGTTACACACCTACCCCCCTACTAACTTATTCTAGTGCAAAATATTTTTTCGAATAATCACATTTCTACAATAAGAAATCGACAATAATTTCAACCCCCTGCACAGAGTAGAAGTACGAAAGAGATCGACTGATTGCTCAGTCGAAAATTCCGGGGTCGAAGAAAATCATGATTTCTACTTTCCTTACAGGTTTTTCTTTCTAATTTTGACATTTAAAGTGACATATTTTGTAATCGCAGCAAGTTTCAAAATGATCAAGTTTACGCAACCAGTTTCATAATGTTGAACATTATTAAACTGGTTTCGAAAAATTCATTATGTCGCCAGTTGCGAAAAGAAATAAAAATAAACCTTCTTTCGTTTTAAAATCAATTATATACATTATTAAAAGTATATATCAAAGAAGGACAGGTTGAATTTGATTAAACTTACAACCTAGTAATAATGTTTTGGTCATTATTTTCGATTCTAAATCAGCACAAAATTAAAACACAATACACGACAAAATAACCCACTTTTTGAAAAGCAAATAACTTTAATAAGCTATAATAACACACTAAAAGTAGTTAAAAATAATTAATATTATGTTCTCTCTCAATAAAATGATGTACATGCAACTAACAATACAGGAAAGAAGTAATATTGGTTGCCTATAAATGTCATTAATTTCTTACCAAAACACAATTTTATAATCTAGTCAAAATTAGAAAAAATATATAAAACTAGGGTTGCCACCTGTCCTTTTTTGAAAAGAACAGTCCTTTTTTGAAGCAAAATATCCTTTTTTACGGCAAATGTCTTTTTTTACGGTAAATGTTTTTTTTACATCACATAAAAATAGATAAGCTGTGGACTTTTTTTTAGAAGTTCAGTAGAGGGATGAGGACTTTTTGTATACCGGAGCCCCTGTCAGCATCGTAGTCCGTTATTCACTGTTCAAAAAGGCGACAACCCTATGTGTAACACATGTTACGAAATACCGTTTTATGTAACTCGTTCATGTTTTGCGGGACCTCGCTCTACTCGTCCCGCAGATATTCACTCGTTACATAAAATAAGGTATTTCGTAACTGGTTTCATAAATACCTATTATGTACATACTATAAAATGCACAATTATATGAATTCTTAACGCGCTAAATTAAATATATGAATAATATTATTTAAATGTTATTATATTACACTTTATTACATTTAGCACAATGGCTAAGAATTCATATAATTATGCATTTTAACAATGGTTGAGACGATGAGAGACATTTTAATAGACTATCATTATTGTAAAGAAAATAATAAATTTAAATATTTTTTCTTTTATTATTCGGCCTTTTTCTAAGAAATGTATAAGTACCATAGCGGGCGTTGTTTTCTCTTACTAATAATTGCAGATAACGTTATTTTATGACTACTTATCCTCATACAGCCACCGGGTAACAATAATATTAAAGATTGGAATCGAGGAATGAACCCTAATAAGCAAAATCAAAGTTAGAGTGTTAAAAATAATTTATTATCCATGCCATTTTCCTTTTGATGTAATTCAATGCATGTTGCGGAATTCGCCAAATTAATAGTTGTTTTCAGGGGGAAAATGGTTACTCGACGTTACTGTAACATTTTTTTGGTTTTTTCTAATTTTAGCTGTTTAATTAATGTATTTAAAAAACTTTTATTTTTTTCTTTCAACAATAATTTTATTAATGTTCTTCACAATTCCGCAGTTAGTTTTTTAGTTTGACGCCGTTTGACTAAGTTTTGTATTAACGAATTGGGTTAGCAATCCTTTACCCAGACAAGTCAAGCTTCCTCATTTATAATTTTCAAGGATTCTAGCTTAATCAGTTTTGCTTTTTTCTGCAACTTGAAACGAGACAATTTACTTTTGAACATACTGTATCATGCAAAATATGATATCTAGCACGTTTAGGTCTGAGATGACAAATGTCATGAAATCTGATTGTATCCATCAATTAAGAATTCGCTTCGATATTTTGTAAAGTATCTTTGAATTGTGACCACGGTAAGTTTCTTTTAGAATATAGAATAAACTTTACTTATATTATTGTTCTTTAGTTGAGGTGGTCTTATTCAAAGAAACTGTAAATATCTCCTACTTTTGCTTCTGATGTGAGAGGGTCAGAAGGAGAGGAACAGTAGGTCAAAGGCGAACAGTAGGTCAAAGGCGAACAGTAGGCCAAACCCAGAACCACTGCACCATAGCCGTAAGTTAAGTTGTAAGAAGTTGTCCTAGATTGAGTCACTTGCCTTGTTACCAAGTATTGTCCAAAGCGCAGGCTGTGCTCAATGTTCACAGTGGACATAACAGACAATTCTTCATAATTCAGAGAGAGATATATAATTGTTTTTTAGTTTATATTTTGAGTAGTATCTATTAATTCTTTCGTTTAGATATTTTGAGTAGAATCTATTATATTTTTAGTTATAGGACTTTGTTTAGTTGTAGCTAGCTAGTTTACGTGGTTCAGAGAATAACTCCTCTGAAACATTATAATTCATTGTGTAAAGGGATTAATAATTAAAATAAAAATTGTTATTTGAAATCATCTTATTTCCCACGTTTAACTTTATTCCAAAATAACCCGAAGTGAGGGTATTGTTACAAACTTTTTATCACTATTGTAAAATAGTTATAAATTTAATCTACCAGGCGAAAAATCTTGCCATTTAAAAGTTTTGTGGTACTCCACTTTTAAAGTAATTTATATTTAATGTAAGAAAAAATTAGATAAAAAATATGGTCCTGTGGGAAAATATTAAATATTAGAGAAGATTAATTTCTCATATTTTTAGAAAATAAAATACTAAATTGAATCGCAATACATGCAACTAGTTTTGACCTTCAGACCTGAAATATAAGAATTAGAAAAGGATAATGTTGGAAGTAAAATTATTCTAAAAAACCAATTTCCCAAAAAAAAATTCCTTACACAATTTTTATTGCTCTTTATTTAGCTAAAAATATCACATAGACCTTTTTAATTCTACAATGGGTACTTATAAAAATAAAAACATTTATAAATATCAAGCCGCAAATTCTTCATTTTTTTCATCTTCTAACAGTTTCGAATATACCTTGTACACAGAATCGGACTCCCAGTATGTAACCAAACTGGCGAGGAGTGCTTGTGCCAAAAATATACCAAAAGCGACGTTCTTTATTTTTTTAAATTGACCGCCCAAAATTTGAAGCACTTTTAGGGGTTCTTTGGATAGGTAAGGCATGTCGAATGTGTGGAATCTGTGCACCAACTAAAAAACAAATCAATTTAATTATTCTTATACAGTAGATTACAGGAGATAATTTAAACTTTGAAAAATAAAGATATCTGGATATAGTAATAACAAGCCCCATTACACTATTCTTTTAATAATAACGGAATAAATTATTATACTCGATAAGTGATTTAACCTTGTTTCAGGAATAATTTAGAAACAACAGTGACAATAAATATTGTAAACATAATAGGTAACAATTACAATAAAATTACATTTTTTTTCAAATGATAACATAATATGCATACAAATACATTATAATTAAACATTTCGAACCGTGTTTTTTGTATATTTTTTATAATATATTTTAAAGTAACCTTACTCACCCAGACAAAGGTGGCCCTATGCCGAATTTTAGGGGAGGGGGGGCACATTGCTAATAATAATTCCCTTTTAAGCATATTTTTTTTAATAGAAGGCTTATTTATTATAAAAAATGTAGTCTCGGAGATGCCCTTACAACCATTTATAGTCCGTTACAATTTATATATATATATTTATATAAACATGAAGGAAGGTTGTGTATTAGCCGGAAGGGACGGTGCTCCCAAATGGACTTTAAAAATTAATGTTTTCTGTTTGGGAAACAAACATGATAATATTAATATTTCGTAAGAATGTAAATTTTTTTTAGTTTTCCTAAAGACCCTAATCTTAGCAACAAGTGGTTGCATCTTAGCAAGAGGAAAGATAAACTTAATATAAAAAACCTTTCCCGCAAGATTCGTGCCCAGAATCCCAAAGATCAATTTTACAGCGAAAGTAACGTGTAAAGAAAAGATACATGAAATTAGTCATTTTATATTTTTTAATATTTTTCTGATACGAATCTTAATAAACATCTTTTGTTGTAGCTGTTGCAATAAATGCGTTACAGAGAAAATAAGCCCTAATGAGAGTCAGGCCATGAGTGACGTCATGCGCATGGCAGACGAAAACTAAACATGGGAGCATCCGGCCCTGGGTAATATTGATGTGGAATTTACCTAATCATTTTAGTTTAGCTTCAAAGTTGATGCGATTTGGTAGAAGTTTCGGTACTATATAGTTAAAATAAGTAGTGAAAATGAGTGAGGTAAAGTACGATTCAATTTAGAAAAAGCCACGGGCGTCATCAACTAGTCATCGTCTGCCTCACTTTAAAATATTCCTTCTCCTTTGCTCCAGATCGATATACCAGTGGCGTAGGCTCTTATTTAAATAAGAATTAAAGCAGTTTCCCAACAAAAAACATTTATTGGATTAAATAGTTAAATTTTAATGATTTAAACATTTGTATATTACCTAAATAACTAAACTAAAATAACATTACATATATTTTTCGACTTTAGACTTGCAAAACATTCAGTGGGAAGTAAATAAAAATAGCAACACAATTTTGTAATTTAAGATTTTTATTACAATTAAAATAATAGTTATTTATGCAACTAGTGAAAAAAGTGAAACTAGAGGAGTACATCCTAGTTCGATTTTTAATGAACTATTATACTCTGTTTTTAAACTAAGAGGAGCGATTTGAATTTAAGTTGGCAATTCTGTAGCCTTCTGATTGGTCAGATTACAGTCAGTTTCACACATTACTTTTTAACATGAACATCAGCTAATAATTGATATTGTTGACAGTTCTGACATTTTATAATTTGATATCTCATCCATTACTTAGTTTTTTACTTTATTTCGTAAATAATAGTTCTTCAGTAAGCAATTGTATTGAAAATCTACAATTATGGATCCTTCTACACTGAGTACTATTAGATGTAGCAATTCCTGAAAAGCCTTACAGGAAAGGGAAGACACCTTATTATTTTACATGCTGATTCTGAAGGTTTTGTAGAAAATGCATTATTGGTTTTTGAAGGTAAAAAGATGGGAGATTACCATGAAGAGATGAATTCCGAAGTATTTTAGAAAAAAATAATTTTATTACTGATTTTTTAAAACTAAAAATTGAATTTCTAACCAAAATGATTAAAATGTAACTAAATATTTAAGCAAATTTTATTTATTAGAATAGAATAAAACAATTTACAAAATTGTTATAAGATTTAAAACACAATCTACTACTTTAGGGATAATCTTAATTTGGCACAATGAGTTAACATTACTTTCACAAAAAATATTTTAAAAATACTTAAAATTAATACATAGGTATGTATGAATAGTTCACTTTAAAAAATATATGTTGACATGTAGTGTTATGAAAATGTTGGTTCCAGTTTTCAAAACAAATTCTGGCAAAAGCGCATTTATTTTTGATCGTATTTCTAGACCAAGTAGTAAATTGTTTCATTCATAAAAGTACTTTGTGTTTGGTGGATTGCAGCTATCTTTTTGTGAAAACTGCTTTTTCTGATTTTGTATGATTACACTGGCCAACAAAATTACACTTTTTGACTAATGAATGACTTATGTCACATGATGTTTACTAATTTTAAGTCGTTGATTCTAAATATACCCCCACTTTTTTTCTGACAGCTCTTGTTTACGAGTTATAGCTTTCACTAAAAATTCGGTGTATTATATTATAGTGTTTATTTGCAGTTTATTTAATAATAATTATTGAATACATATTTAATTTTATTTGGAAATACCATTAATTTATAATCCTCTTTAACGACCCCTCTGTTGTACGACCGCGGACATCCCCTGTCGTTTCTTAGAACATACTTATTAAAGTAAAAGTACCTCTATTTAATGACCGGTAAAACCCAATTTTAGAATTCTTAAGAAATGATCTTTTGTTATTTTAGGGGAAGGTTTATTAAGACAATAGTGAAATTATCTCTTGTTTGAATTATTGTTTTATTTTGTAATTTGATATGGCATCATCAAAACAATTTTTGTTTCATTTGCGGAGAGTATGTATTTAAAGAATACCGCTTAAATGTAACAACGTTCGTAAATAAGGCTTACAAAAATTACTTTGGGCACCCGCTGAAATGAAGAATAAGCCTTGGATTCCGCAAAAGGTATGCAAAACATGAGTTGAGTTCCTACGTTTATGGACAAATAAGAAAAGACATAGCTTCAGGCACAAAACCGCTATGATTTGGAATGAACCCATGAACCACCATGACGACTGTTATTTTTGTTTGGTGAACATAACTGGTATTAACCGAAAAAATCGAGCTAAATGGGAATATCCTCCAATACAATCGGCACATAGACGTGTCCTGAGCCCCAAGTCTACATCTGAACCTCAATCTGGTTACTTTACAATAAGAGTCAGAAGATTTTGAGACGAAAAACGATAGTAGTGATAGTGACTTTGAATGCGACCTGGGAATGCCAAAACCATTCAATCAAGATGATTTAAGCGACTTAATTAGAGATCTGGGACTGTCAAAGTCAGCTTCAGAAATTTTGGCTTCAAGGCTAAAAGAAAGAAACTAAAATTTCTTATTATCGCACAAGAGAACAGAATTTCCTCAAATATTTTGCTCAAGAAGACACTTTCGTATTTTGTAAAGATGTACCTGGATTGATGCAATATATGGGATTACAAAATTATGTTTCTAGTGAGTGGCGTTTATTCATAGAATTTGCAATAGGCAACGACCCTAATTTATTCCCATTGTGTAAGAGAACACATTTTAGACTCCGTTTCATATAAAATTAGGGCTTATAAAACAGTTTGCAAAATTTATTAGTTTTAATGTTATGGAGTATGGTGCACCCAGTAAATTTCTAATTAAATGTTAATTAAAACTTTTTTATAATAGAAATATTGAAGTAAATTACACCCTGTATATTTTTCTAATCTTATCTTAACCATATCAATGTAAAGTTAAACATTTCAACATCTTTGGTTTTTTTCCCAAATCAAGTAAATGAATGTACAAGGGAATGATACTTGATTATTCTAGGAATATGTACCTACAGGAAGCAGGGTAATCCTCTTAACGATTCTATAATCCTCTTTATTAAAAGTGCAAATTGTACCTGCCTAAAACTGAATGCAATAATTTGTTTTTAATGTTTATTAAGTACAAGGAAAGTAAATAAAAATATGAAATGAGTTAGAGAGTAAACATTTAAAAACAAAAACAAAATTTGGAAACTAGAAATGAATGTACATGAAATCATTCATATTCATGGACATCTACATGAAAAAAAAATATCATAACAGGGTGTGGGGATTAACTTTTACATGTGAAATGAGTTTCAACAGATATATATTGAAGCCTGTAAAACTATTACATTTAATTTATGCTCATTTTTAAAACAGGTATTTAGTTAAATGACGCTTTAAAGTGTACTGTTCAATAACTTTTTATAATGAAATCATTATAAAATTTAAATTTTACTGAGAAAATTAATAATTATTAAATATTTTTCTTTACGACTGATACCTACGCCTATGGATGTTTTCAATGCGGCCAGCAGGCGATGACGCGCTGTTGCCGTATTAAGCCAGTTTAATCGGACCTTTCATTCCGATTTAGAGATGCCTTCACATCAAGTACACTTTTATCAATGGTGTGTACAATACTATAAGAGACGCAATCAAAAGCCTTTAGATCACACAGGCTATATTACCTGCTTCGAAGCCCCCAACTACATCTCCCATAATATTCAATATACTGCCTGTGCCATAGAGAGACCTTTCCGAAATCCAAACTGACATTTACTAAAAAGATTATATTTATTAAAATACTCATATAAACGATCCATAATGAGTTTTTCTATTAATTTACTAAAGATAGAGATAATTGAAATAAGACAGTCATTCTCTGGCTGAGAAGTATCCCTTTTTTTATACAGATGAAGAATTGTTGAAGATTTAAATGCATCTGGAAAAACACCAATTCTAAATATCAAGTTTATGAGGATAGTTAGAGGTTTAACAATAATATCAGAGATTTCTTTTATAATCAAACTATTGAGATTATTTGTATCTAAACAGTTAGTATTTTTTAATGATTGAATTATGCATAAAACTTCCTCTTCGCGGAGAGGAGACAGGAGGAACACACTACAGGGTAATGGAAAGTTTCTGAAAGTCAGCAAATCTTGATTAGAAATAGTAGCAAGTGATTTTAATATGAATGAACGAGCTCTTACAACTATGATTTCTGCTTTATACTGTTGCAACTGTAAAATAAATTATTTACTTTCATGTAAATCACCTTTAGCTACAATAATAATTGCAACTAGAACCAGAAAATACATTAAATATATAACTTGCATTAAAAATGCAAATATTAGTAATTTTTAAATCTTTTTGTTCATTTTGTTAATTTCTAATAGTTATAACCATAAACAATCCTTGTAACAAGATTCTCCCATACTCTCTCATAATAATTTGGCAACTATGAATGCTTGCAATTTGGTTTTTGTAAACAAAATTAGTCTAGTAATTGTTTGTCATTGGTTGGGTATGTGAACTCTTTATTGTTTTAAGAATCTTCGTTGTATGATTTCCACTGTATGCATATAAATTTTTAAAGCGTTACCCCAAACTAAAAGGCCATACCTCAAGTGACTTTACCAAAGCAGAGTGAATAAATTTATGCTGATTAAAATTAAGAATTGATTTTAAAATATTTAAATTTGTAAAGGATAAAGCTTTGTTTTTACAAATCAATGCAACATGTTCATTCCACTTAAGATGGCAATCTATATATATTCTTAAATATTTTATGTTTGTTAATTCGAAAGTTATTATTATTAAAATTATTAAAGAAATGTACTGATGGTAAATTAGAAAAGAATGGTAAGTAAAATGTTTTTCTACATTAAAAATTATTAATTTTGAGTTAAATCAATTTTGGATTTCAGAAGTCACTCTCGATCAGATCTTTAATATTTTGTCATGAGTCACTTCTATAGAAAACAATTATTGTGTCATCTGCAAAGCTCAGAATCTCACCTTTAGATTTACTAAATTGAAAACAGATTGTTAACATATAAATAAAAAAGGAGTGGGCCTAGAATAGTACCTTAGGGAACTCCATAATTTACCGATAAGAAACTACTGTATGTATAACTTATTTTAACCATTTGTGTTATTCTATTTAAATGGGTTTAGAGGAATATTTTGCACACCATAGTTCTCTAGAGTATAGACAAGGACGACTGATGATGTCAAAGGACTCCAAGAGGTAATTGAGGGTAATGTATTAATTCATCCATGTTTTGTCCCCAAAAAATGCAAGAACTCTAAATCCCAGTCATTATGGTTAGATAATGATTTAATGATGAATTTTTTCTTGTAATCACATCAATACAAGCACAGTTCTGACTGAAGTGCCCATATTATACTGTCAGATTCCTTAATTAATATGTTAATGAACTAATTACTTACAGATAGTGACATGACAGGTGCCACAAGGAAAGGTATTACAAAACCAGTGAGTGTTTGAAAAGCAGCAGCTCTGGATTGAATACATATCGGACATGAATATTTATTCAATACTACATCCGTCAAGACTATCTGAAAAAAATGTAAAATTAGATTGTGTCATCAAGCATTTAGCAAACTCAACATTTTGATGAACTAAAACTGACATTGCAGCTGGTATAACACTAATGGGTAAATAAGAAGACATTCGACCATAATTCATTAATCGAAATTTAGTTCTAAAATGGTTATTTGCATAAATTCCAGTGAAGAAAGTGGCTACTGCTAGTAAGCCCTTAGCATTTCTATAGCCGAATCTGTAAAATATAGTATAATAAACTGCTCTAATAGACGTTTTAAAGCAATATTTACGTATCAGACGAATCCGGCCAATTATTTAATATTCTAGATTGATAAATTAAAGCTTTTTGTTCGGTTAAAATAACAGCATCTTGTGGAATTTCGCTGGTTCTCTTTTTTTGTAAAGCCATATTTTCATTTAGATATTTGTGAGGTTAAGTTAAGCCTGACACCTGACAGCACCTTGACAGTCCTGACAGGCATAGACAACGTTGCCAGGTCATTCATATATTCGGACTCTGACCCAAATATACTATAATAGCCCAAGAGCCCACTGCAAATTTTTACCGTCATCTGATAACGAAATGAAATATACCCCAGAAATATGGAAAAACATTGTACTTTACCAAATGGCACCTGTGCCAAACCCCATCCTGAGCAAAGTGGCTTAAAAAAATTATTTTATATTAAAAAAATCACATAAGGCATGACAGTGCTAATTTTGTTTGCCCTTAAAGTTTTCCATAAAATAACAATCAAATATATCTTGATATATATCGTTAAAGAGAAACATTTTCTTCTTCTTAACATCGCACAAAAACATCTACCAACGATTAGTAGATAAAAATCATTAAAAATATGAATCAAAGTTTGCTGATTTAAAAATTTATTTGTACGCCTATTGTTGTGATTCATTTTTGCAGGTTGCTATAGAAACGACAAAAAAACTACTATGATTATGGTTTAAAATAATTGTCTAACAAGAGTTTATAATTATTATTGACTATCTCTGCAAATGGTTTATACAATGCCATCCTTCTTCCTTTCATACATAAACATGGTTTAAAAGGGAGGTAAAAATATTAGTAATTCAGGTTTAACAGCTAGGTTCACAATGAATTGGGATTGTAATTTTGAGGGAAAACATAATTGTCGCTGTCATGTCTTATGTGATTTTTTGAATATAAAATATTTTTTTTAACCACTTTGCTCAGGATAGGGATTGGCACAGGTGTAATTTGGTAATGTACAATGTTGTTACATGCCTTTGGAGCATATTTCATTTCGTTATCAGATGACGGTCGAAATTTGCAGTGGGCTCTCATACTATAATTGTGGCCAAAATCATCGTATTTTTGTTTTTTAGGCGTTAAAAAAAACATTACCGGATTTACTTTTTTGGCCGCATTTACTTTACGGCCGCTTTTTATAAAACAAAAAACGTAAAAATATGTTGAATTCACTTGATGAGACAGCTGCCTAAAAAATATTGTGTGGCCTTTTTGGCCTAACCAGAAAGTTGCTTGGCCTCGGCTACGTCTTGGCCGCGGCTACGTCTTGGCCGCATATTTCTGATTCGGCCAAAAAGATATCAACTTTTACGCCTTTGGTACACAAAATATAAACTACTCATAACTGCAGTTCAATTTTTTAAACGATTATAAAACAAAGAAAAACCACACTATTTAAATTTAAAATTGATAAACGGTGTTTAAGTCAAAGACATTATTAAAAATAACAGGTGTATGTTTATTACTTTTCTAATAAAATAAATTAAAAAACTTTTTTAAAAAAATGTTTGAAAATAAAAAGTATCTAATCTCTTCTTTTCGTATTCAAATTAAAAATCGATATCGTGATTATCGTTATGTCGGTATTTTCATCGATATCATCAATGATTTTTCTTGTTCCATGCATAGGTACAGCTTGAGTGTGTCATAGATTTAATTAATATTTGCTTTATCCGGTTTGAAGTTTACGCAACCATTTTTAAGTTGCATTGATTGGGAAGAATGCACTTCCCCATTTAATGTACCTATTAGTTATAAAAGCCGATTTCTACATATAGCGAAGTACAAATAGATTTTAACAATAGCATTAAGGAATTAAATGATTCGTATTAAATTATTGAAGGAACGTTTGAGGCGTATCGTGAAATTATCATTTATTTTGGTACATTATTATCGTACATCCACAAAAAATGTCTCCTTAAAAAAATCACGTGCAGATCATTCAATTTTTTTTCTTTTAAATGTCATTTTGAATTTAATTTATTAGGCTCGTATTTATAAACAGCAAGTAGTCTGACTGCTTAGTCGTCCTTGAACAAAAACCGATGTTCGGTTATATCGCGTGAAATTAGAGATGGGTAGTAACAAATTCGTAAATGTAAATAACAGTTACGGATTTGCTACTGTTCATCTCTAAATTCCAGTGCAACACTAGAACCTCCTGGAAATTTAGAGGAATTATAACCGAACTTCGATTTTCATCCAAAGACGTCTCAGCCAAGTGCTACTCGGTTGAGATTTGTTTATAAATACGAGTCTTTGTTAGAGCCATGCATAGTTATCATGGACGTGAGTCGTATCTCTACATTTCTCGGTCAAAGCCTACTTTAGAAACTTGTGGATCACTCATCTTTATAATCTCACATTGTACAGAACATCAAAATTATCGTATAAAAGGATAATTATTTTCCATCTGGCAACACTGAGCACAGGCACAAAAAACACTTCTCACATGTGATGTGCGTTCAGTAACGGATGCAAATAAATGTAATCAAATCTCAAAAAAATGTTCCTTTCAAATCAAATGTATAAAATAATGTAATTGTTGTTTATTAATAATACATATAGTATTAATCAAATTAATTTATTCATATTAGAACTACACTGTCTGTTGTTAAAATTCTAGTGTTAAAACGTCATCGCCTTGTATATAGGCAACCCAAATTTATTATAATGCATCAAAGGGTGATTGTTTTATATACCTACATATAAATAGGGGAGTAGCGAAGTAGTGGTCTTGGACTTTAGCTGTTTTTATGGTTGTTGAATTGTTGGGCGGACGTCGCGACGCCTCTGTCTCTGGAATCTTATTTTTTTGGCCTATATTTGTCGTTTGGATGAAACTCGCCTTAGGGGGTAAGGCAGATAGAATTGGTGTATCAGGTTAATTGGCAAGTGCTGTGGAATTGTTTTTATCAAAATCAGTAGCCGAACTCGTCTTTAAAAATTAGCCAACTCTATTTCTTGTCCCGATCCCACCATTAAGGGTTTATAGTTCACAACTCCTTAGCTACTTGCACGTTCACTTTTATTCTACTACTTTTTTCTCTCAGTGTAATGTTATACATATAAAGACTGCTTTTTAGACTACACAATTTCTTGTGCAATATTTGATACAATTTCTTGTACAATATTTGATACAATTTCTCGTACAATATTTGATACAAATATCTTGTACAATATTTGATACAATTTCTTGTACAATATTTGATACAATTTCTTGTACAATATTTGATACAATTTCTTGTACAATATTTAATATAATTTTTTGTACAATTTAAATTGTGTAGTATCATACACAGTAAATTGTTTAAAAAATCGATTTTTAAAATAATTCGCTGTATGATACTACACAATTTAAATTGTACAGAAAATTGTATCAAATATTGTACAAGAGATTGTGTAGTCTTAAATAAATTTAATATGGAAATAAATTCCAATTCTCAAATGTGACCGATTCAAAGTTAAAGTGTTGAAAATTTATTTTTTGTCTCTGCTGTCTTCTTTTTGATATACAATGCAATGCCTGTTGCGGAAGTAGCCGTTGTTTGCAGGAAGGAAACGGCCACTTATATTGATGTATCTCGATGACGACTTTGAGTTTTTCTCTTTTTCCTTTGTGTTTTTAATAATAAATTTAATATACGTCCAAATACAAAATAAGTAAATAATATTTTTCCAATATTATAATCAAAATTAATCAGAAAGTAGTAAATAAGTTGACGCATTTATTTTTCATATTTACTTCTAGCACTTAATTATTTTTTCTAAATTTTTCTGTTTACAAAAACTGGGTCAATGCTTAGGTGCATTGTTATAAAATTGTTTTTCTGTACAATACTCCCATACATTAGTTGTAGTAAACAACTAAACAATTTAAAAATAACCTGAATTGACAAATAAAACGATAAGATCAAAACAATACAATTTTTACAACTCAATAATCAACGATCAATGTGTAAAGTAAAATGAACCCTAAGAGGCGAGTGGGTTAATTGTATATTAAAAATACATTATGGGCTAAAATGAGTTTTTAAATGAGAGTAGGAAAAGCACCGTGCCATCCAGTTACTAACCGGTCCTGCGCAAAATCGGAACACCGGTCGATTAAAACCGGCGTTCTGTGAAATAACAGCTGCTGATTGTCATTAGTTATCGTTCCGTGCCAGAACTAGTCAAAGGGAAAGCGGAACAAGAGAAAGGAAGTGAATTTTTCGGTAATTTAGTAGTATATATTCGCAAAAAACATTCTGATGGAAAAGAAAACATTTAAAAGTATTCCGGGGACTGCGTATAGTTCCCAAAATGGACATTTACTCGTTTCTTCGGGTATACCATCTCTGGATACGTTACTAGGTAAGTATTTTTAGGTTATAATATTGAGTTTCTTTGTTCTTTTGCTACGGTAATTATAATTGATCGAGAAGCTCACTTGCGAAATCCTTTGTTGCAATTTAATTATAAGTAAGAATGCAATAGCTCCTTTATTATATGATTAGAATCTCTATTTTTATTTAATTGTAGACTTTTAATTATTTTATAAGGATCAAAGAAAGGTCAGTTATATTTACCACTTTTTATTTTACAGGAGGTGGAATACCGGTGGGGACCGTGGTATTAATCGGTAAGTAATTTTTATATATTATTTAAAATTGATTTTTAATCTAAATGGTATTTAAAAATAATCTATTGACACACTTTTTTTATTAGATCAAAATAGCAAACATCATTATCAAAAGGCATAAAGTTCATGAATCATTCAGAGATAAAGTTTTAAATAGTTATATAGACCACGTTTTTTTATTAATGTCAATATTTTAATCATGATTTAAATTACATCATGCAAAAAACGTGGTTCCTTTTAAATTTAAAATCCTGTCAGAACATGTTTTTTTTTTTCATCATTTTGGTAATTGACAATTTTTCAGAAATAATTCATGATTCATTCTGATATGTTTTAATTTGTATATGCCACGTTTTTTATTAATGTTGTCAAATTATGATTTAAATTACATCATGCAAATATATGGGTCCTTTTAAATGGCTTTCACTCGAATCTGCTGAATTTTACTCATATATTGCCGTTTTTGATCTCTTGATTAAAAATGTCTATGGATACAAATTGTTTTTGAGATACAGGGTGTTGAAATTGTGATTTCTCATAATTTTCAAATATACCAAGACATAAATGTTATTTTGCTGGTATTCATAAATATTAAAACGTTTTGACTCTCTATAAGATATTTGTGCCTACCAAAATACAATACTAACCCTTTTTGAAAACAACTAGGTATTATATAGGATGAATACTTAATTTTTTAAATTAAAGTAGAAAAATTTCATGTTTAAAAAATTGCAGTTTTTCTACTTAATTTAAAAAATTGTCCTCCATAGTTATTTTCTAAAAAGGTTGATATTGTATTTTGGCAGTCATAGATATCTTAGTGAGCCAAACTATAACTTGAACTTGAAAATTATGAAAATTCACAAGTTCAACACCCTGTATCTCAAATACTAGTCATGGAAGAACTTTGTGTCTGTAGACACTTTTTATCAGGAGGTCAAAAGCTGGTAACATGCAGGATGTCATGAGATGGACTGAAAAAAAGGAGCAAAATCTTTTTTTATTTCCACTTTTTTGAAAAAATGTTCTTTATAAAAGTGTCTGCTTGTTTCCAAACTAATAATAATCCTCGTAATAATCCAAACAGAAGTTGAATATATCTTTGCTTTAGTGAAAAAATCACAAAAACAAAGAAATATTCAACTTCTGTTTGATTTAATATTATTTTTGAAACAAATCAAAAATTTTTATGAAGAATAACATTTTTTTCATTCCATCTGAGTACACCTCGTTTATAAAATTCAGCAGATTGGACTGAAAGCCATGTACCTTTTAAAATCTGTCAGAACATGTTTTTTCGCCACTTAGGTAATCGACAATTTTTTTACAATAATTAATTTTAATTAGAAATAATACTGCATTAGAAAAAGCAATAATACTATTTTTAGTTTTTTGCTTGTTTACTATTTTTCAATAATTACCTGTTATGGATACATGTTTCATTTAAAATTCTGGCAATGAATCATAAAATCTGCCAAATTGATGTTTTTTTAGTGTGTACTTGTAATGGGATTTTTCATTTTTAATAGAGTGTAATTGCATTTTAATGTGATAAAAATGATAGTTTTCATGTTAAAGTAATTAATATTCATTGTTTTGTTTTTGGTGTAATATTGATAAATACACCTACATGTCCTATCTTTAGAGGGCATTTAAAAAGTTCCAAAAATAGACTATTGTTTATAGTTGCAATAGAAAAATAAGGTGAAAAGGTTGTAAATATTAAACCATATATTACTATAGTTTATGATTTTCTTCATGTTAGCCAAACAAAAATGATTTAATATTGTTTGTACCATCTACTAGGCCAGAAAAATAATACTGTTTTGTTTTTGACAATAAAATGTGGTCATCTTTATAAATGAAAAGAAATACCCAAAATCTGTATCACAAAACTATTTTTAAGTTTTTAGTGTGTTGTAGGGAATTTCATAATTCGAATTAATTGATTTTTTTGTAATACATTTTTAAACCATAAGATTTTTGAATTGAGAATTAAAAGACCTTTCAAATGAAATATCACAAGCCCATACTTCCATGAATTTTTTTTTGGGAGTATTGAATTTGAGGATGAAATTTTTTTCAGAATTTAAAATTTACATGTCTTGGACTTTCATATAAATATGCACAATAATTATTGACATTCTGAATTTATACTATTTGGTTGTTCCATACTGTAGAATTCAATTACAATAAGAACACAGTTACATCATAACTGTTATTTTGTAATTCCAAATATATCATCTATTACTATTAATACATATAAAGATAAAGAATATATGAACTGCTCAGTTTAAAAATATTATTTCTGTATTCCTATAATATTAACACCACATTAAACCACCCAGTAGCCAATACAGCACAAACACATTTTGAAAATATTTCAACGATGTTAATATTGAAACATTTGCAATGTATAAATATTACGAAACATCCCAGAAACATTTCTGAAATATGCTTGAAACGTAAAAATGTCCTGTACATATAATATTTTACAGTAATATTTCTGAAATGAAAATTTGAAATCTCTAGAAATATTAAAAAGTAATATTTCAAAAATGTATTCTAGTTTTTTTTTACTAATATATTATTAGACTAAAAAAAAAGACATTTAAAAATATACTTGTTTATTTAAAATACACAAAACTCAAACATTTATTCTTAAACAAACAAATAAATAAATATGTTTTAAAGAATATTTCTTAAAATATAGAAGCGAATTGCTTCATTTTCACCAATTCCTTTAAATGCACTAATTTGAAACAACTAGGTTTTTTAATTAATAAATGCCCCAAGTAAAGAAACATTTATAATTATTATAATCTAATCATTAAGATCAATTAGCAATGTTATTTTTACCTAACTTATCTAGGGATGTAAAACTTCATAAACTAAGATTCTACTCACACTCTACTCTGTTTTAATCTAACATCACTGAACTAACTCAAAAGGCTGTTGGAGCAGTCATTGTTGGGGACTACTGGCAAATTTTTGTATTGTATTTTCAACAGTCTCCACTTTAAGGTGGCAAATTGCTTAATTTCCACCAATTCCTTTAAATGCACTAATCTGAAACCAAATATAGGTAATTAAAAAGGATTTATACAAATTATTTGATTAACAATAGTTTTATTAACATTGTTTTAAATTAACTATAATAAAACAATACCCATATCTAAACAAAACATGAAGATCCACCTAAGCAAGCATTATTTATGTAGTTCTCACCCTAATTTCTAAAGACATATTCTGCTTCTCTTATAACAAGTTCATAACGCATGAATATCAAAAACCAACAACTCAAATCTATAATTATAGAACTGGAGGCTGCACAGGGACATGATGAAATAAAATAACTACATATCCCATCTTCTTACAAATCAGAAATTATTCATTAATTGTTGGCCTTTTACAACATAACCCGTTTAGTAACCTTTTATGTACCATGTATACCATGTTTCAGAAACATTTTCAGTGAAATAACACTTCTGAAATAATTTGTGTTGTATGGGAGGCGGCGATAGCCATTGAATTACTCCACCACAGTTGGTGTGACAATTCAGTCTACGTTTTTAAGAGCTATGTTCTTTTATTTCCTCTTTTACCTATAACTAGTGTTCACCCAGTGGTCAAAATTAGACCATAATCATTATTGAAAACATATGCATTTGGATATTTCTAACTTTTTTTTATTCTTCTTCCTACATTGTATAACTGCGACCATAAACATTTATGTGTACTTAAGCTACACCATAGTTCAGTACTATTATAAATAAATAAAAAATAAATTCTATAAAATAACAGTAACTCGCAATTTAAAAAGCTTCATTTATTGATATATTTTTATTTTGAGGCTACTCTTGAGGCCTCTAAAAAGGGGGCAACCCCCATTGCTCTACTATATCCAACCTCAGCTTGCGCTTGCACCCTGTCATAAACCATATCGAAAATAACAATCATTAACAGCCAAGAAAATGTATAAAAAAAGGGATGGGGGAAAGAAGGTAGGCCTACTCTTCAAATTTTTCTAATTTTTTAATTATCTATACAACCAATATCTCAAAATTCTCAAATTATGAAAAAAATGTTTAACTCCCCACCTACACTTAAGGGGGGAGAATTCGCCCCCCCCCCCCCCAACTACCTTTAAAGGGGAGTGTGAAGTGTGACTTGTCCTTTGGGGGTAAAATATTTTTCATCTCAAAGTCTACTCCGTCGAACCCGAAGTTCTATATATCGACCTACCCTGCGGTGGGGGAATTCGGGCAGTTTCAAATCGTTTCAGGTGTGGCCCCGCTTTTAGTTTTTTCTATTTAGGCGTGGCAGAGGAAAAGAGGGGGGTGACCTCTATTCGTCCGTGTAATATTTTTCATGTCGGTTCGAAATTAAAGGGTGTAAAATTGGTTCACAAATGGAAAAGTTATTGGTTCTGAACTATTTTGTCTCTGCCTATTTATATATAGATTTACAGACTGAGCAACATTTTAACAAAAAGTATGCAGCAATGAGTTTACATTTTCAAGACAAGTGATATTTTGCTTCATTGTTGAGTAAATATGGCAATCAAAAAGTATGTGAAAAATAGTTTCTTTTTTATGTGTATTACACACAGTACAATCTAGTTCAGGATCAATAACATAACCAATACCATTTAATGTAAAATTAATCCTAAAATGGTTGAACATACGCAATTAAGTAAGAGTAAGGGTAACTTGGATTGGTAATTTAAAGAGTAAGTACGTACTTGGTTCACAAGAGGTAGAAACATAATTATATAAATACATAAAAGGATAGTGAGACACTATACTAACATCAGAATCTTGTAAATGTGTAAAATATTTGGAAGACAATTCTTTTATATATGAACTAAAAGAAGGATGGTGTAAATCGTTCCATATATAAACACAATATCAACAAACAACTTTTTCATCTGTACTATCCAGTTATACTTCATATCTGTAGAGTTGATCAAACACAATTGTTGTTTAAAACAAAGCTTT